GTGGCAGTTTTAAGCCAGCGGGTGAGGATATCTCGGGTGAGGATATTTCGGTGGCAGTTTTACGCCAGCGGGTGAGGATATTTCGGGTGGCAGGTTTAAGCCAGCGGGTGAGGATATCTCGCGTGGCAGTTTTAAGCCAGCGGGTGAAGATATTTCGGATGAGGATATTTCGGGTGGCAGTTTTAAGCCAGCGGGTGAGGATATCTCGGGTGGCAGGTTTAAGCCAGCGGGTGAGGATATCTCGGGTGGCAGTTTTAAGCCAGCGGGTGAGGATATCTCGGGTGGCAGTTTTAAGCCAGCGGGTGAGAATATTTGGGTGGCAGTTTTAAGCCAGCGGGTGAGGATATTTCGGGTGGCAGTTTTAAGCCAGCTGGTGAGCATATTTCGGTGGCAGTTTTAAGCCAGCGGGTGAGGATATTTCGGTGGCAGTTTTAAGCGCCAGCGGGTGAGGATGTTTCGGTGGCAGTTTTAAGCCAGCGGGTGAGGATATCTCGGGTGAGGATATTTCGGTGGCAGTTTTACGCCAGCGGGTGAGGATATTTCGGGTGGCAGTTTTAAGCCAGCGGGTGAGGATATCTCGCGTGGCAGTTTTAAGCCAGCGGGTGAAGATATTTCGGATGAGGATATTTCGGGTGGCAGTTTTAAGCCAGCGGGTGAGGATATCTCGGGTGGCAGGTTTAAGCCAGCGGGTGAGGATATCTCGGGTGGCAGTTTTAAGCCAGCGGGTGAGGATATCTCGGGTGGCAGTTTTAAGCCAGCGGGTGAGGATATTTCGGTGGAAGTTTTAAGCCAGCGGGTGAGGATATCTCGGGTGAGGATATTTTGGTGGCAGTTTTAAGCCAACGGCTGAGGATATTTAGGGTGGCAGTTTTAAGCCAGCGGGTGAGGATATTTCGCGTGGCAGTTTTAAGCCAGCGGGTGAGAGGATATTTCGGGTGGCAGTTTTAAGCGCCAGCGGTTGAGGATGTTTCGGTGGCAGTTTTAAGCCAGCGGGTGAGCATATCTCGGGTGAGGATATTTCGGTGGCAGTTTTACGCCAGCGGGTGAGGATATTTCGCGTGGCAGTTTTACGCCAGCGGGTGAGGATATCTCGCGTGGCAGTTTTAAGCCAGCGGGTGAAGATATTTCGGATGAGGATATTTCGGGTGGCAGTTTTATGCCAGCGGGTGAGGATATCTCGGGTGGCAGGTTTAAGCCAGCGGGTGAGGATATCTCGGGTGGCAGTTTTAAGCCAGCGGGTGAGGATATCTCGGGTGGCAGTTTTAAGCCAGCGGGTGAGGATATTTCGGTGGAAGTTTTAAGCCAGCGGGTGAGGATATCTCGGGTGAGGATATTTTGGTGGCAGTTTTAAGCCAACGGGTGAGGATATTTCGGGTGGCAGTTTTAAGCCAGCGGGTGAGGATATTTCGCGTGGCAGTTTTAAGCCAGCGGGTGAGGATATCTCGGGTGGCAGTTTTAAGCCAGCGGGTGAGGATATTTCGGTGGCAGTTTTAAGCCAGCGGGTGAGGATATTTCGGTGGCAGTTTTAAGCCAGCGGGTGAGGATATCTCGGGTGGCAGTTTTAGGCCAGCGGGTGAGTATATCTCGGGTGAGGATATTTCGGTGGCAGTTTTAAGCCAGCGGGTGAGGATATTTCGGGTGGCAGTTTTCAGCCACGATGCACAAGTCCCAGGGCATGACAATTCCTTGTGTTGCTGCAAACTTGGGCGACACGGAAATGCATCTGGGCGGTACGTTTACCGTCTTGTCTCGGGTGCCTGCCTTGACTGGTCTTGCTTTGGAACGTGGCTTGAATTTCGACCGGTTGGCCAAGATCAACCAGAGCCGGTCTTTGTTGGCACGGAAAGAATACGAAGCTGCGAAATGGCCACCGCTCGAAGCCAATGCGCTTCGACATTTTCAGTCGGTCCTTGCAGAGCTGTTGCTGAAACGGGAGTCTCCCGAAGCAGCTGTGCTGGACACGATCGGCGGCTTGGCCGAAACAGCAGCTGAGCAATTGTCACTGGCTGACTTCACTGCGGAACTGTGAGCACTTTCGAGGGTGGAAACGCTGCGCAATCATCGTGGCGGCGACGGCCGGTGCCATTTCTACCATAATTTCTACCGGGAGAGTGCGGAAGGGCTCTCGCACGGGGGCGGCTTGTGCAGTTTGAGCAGAGATGGCACCCACGACGAAGAGGAGGGGGCAGGAGCAGGAGGAGGAGGAGGAGGAGCAGGATGATGATGATGATGATGATGATGATGATGATGATGATGATGATGATGATGATGATGATGATGATGATGATGATGATGATGACCATGATGATCATGGTGCTGATGCTGAGGAGGACGATGATGATGATGATGATGATGAGGATGAGGATGAGGATGAGGATGAGGATGAGGATGATGACGATGAGGATTATGACGGCGGGGATGAGGCGATGGAAGGAGGACGAGGGAGGAGGAGGGGTGGAAGGAGGGCACGGAGATCGTGGAAAGGGTGCTCGCAAGGAGAGTGGCAAGGGGAAGAGGAAGGCGCTGGACGAGGAGGCCGACGAGGAGGAAGGAGGCGGAGGACAAGGCAAGAGGCGGCGGGAGGAGGATTTCATTGAAAATGGACGACGGGGGGGGGGAGATCAGCTCGAGGGCGGAGGACGCGGACGGGATGAGGAGGCGGCAGAAGGGAGGAGGAGGTGGAAGTGGAGGAGTCGTAGGAGGAGGAGGAGGAGGTGGAAGAGGAGGAGGAGGAGGAAGAGGAGGGAGGAACCGAGAAGAGCTCTGTGCTCGGCGCGGGCATCCAGCCGCCACGCGATGCATCATCTGCATGGTCGGCCCAGCCGACGGCTACGCCTCCAGCGAGGTGCTGCGCCCGTATATATGCTCGCCCCTTGGCGTGGGGCTGGCGGGGGGCCAAGGGGCGAGCTGTCCGGTGATTGTATCCCTCTCCGGTAATATACGCCCACACCCGCTTATCACAAAACACCCAATGCCCATAGTTCCCCGCAACACATTGGACCACGCCGACACGCACGCGCCGTCGCCCCTTCATGCCGAACTGTTTCAAAACAGTATGTGTCGTGAAGAGATCGAGCTTCCCAAACATGTTGGGCCACGTACTTCCCAACGTATGAAACCAAAAACCCATTGCACGCGATCTCCTCCGAATCCGTGGGCTTGCCATGTCTTACGGATATGTTTGTTGCTCTCTATATTCGGACCAAGCGGGTCATTGGAACGCTTTTGTGCGCTTGTTTGGGTGGGGGTGCGGCCCTTGTGACATAATGGAATACGGACCACACGCCCGCGCCAGCCGCCCGCATATGTCGAAATATGTAGATTTCTTCACCGACGCTTGGACACCATCATCAACACCTTAATCAGCATCAGCATCATCATCCTCATCGCCACCTTCAGGCTCACCATTTTCATACTGACCACCGTCATCATCATTATCATTATCACCATCTTCATCGTGCTTGCCGGCATCGGCATCGTGGCCAACATCGGTGCCTTCGTCGGCCTTGCCGTCGTCATGATCGGCACATTCTTCGCTACTATCATCATCGTTTCTGCCGTTGTCCACGTCGCCGCAATACCGCCCCCGCTGGAGCCACCAACTCGCACTGAAGCGGCCGCGCGCCAGCGCGGCTTGTGAGAGGCGCTGGGGAGTCCCCAGCTGTCAGCGCCACCGCGGCCGCGTCGGTCGCGCCAAACTAGTTTGCTGCTCTGCGCGCGAGACTGCGAGCACTAGCGCGCCGCAGCGATGCGCCAGCCAGCGCCGAGCAGTCATCGCAATCGCCGCCGCATGGGTTTCAGACGCCACGTCGTGGGTTTTGGATGGGTGGGGCAATTCCGCAAGCTGTGGAGTTGACACATGTAACGTCTGCAAGGCGAATTGCACCACACCGCTTGCGCAACATCTATTGACCCGGATAAGTTGCGACAACATTCGTTACACCACAGATGTTTCACAACATAGTTTGTTCCACAGAGATTGCACAACCTACGCTGCTAGAGCACATCGGCTTGAGGCTCGCATGTTACTTGTACACATACATTATCACGCACGTATGCGCATCATTTCCTTGTACACATACCCCATCTGTCCGTCACGGTGTTGATCCTGACGTTTGTTGCGGTCTTCCTTTTTTGCGTCTGCTTGGCTAATCGTTTGTTGATGCTCGGTCTTTCGGATGATGCTCCCCTGGACGAGGCGTTAGGAGGGAGGCGCGGGGTCGAAGACGAGGGTCCATTGCCTCCCCTTCCAACCTCTGCTCTTTGGGTTTCCTCGCCCTCCCTTGCCTGGGTAGCCGTGCCTCCCGCGCCGGCCGAGCCGACCCTTTCCCCCGAACGGGGTTGGAGCCCGTGGCGCGTGCTTTTCAGGTCGGGACGCTCTGGAGGCTCTGGCGTGGCTGTCAAACTAATCTTTGTGCCAGGGAAGGGATCTTGGTGGAGACGGGGCCCTCCCCAGGCCCTGGGGACCGTCAACAGAAACGAGTCGGCATGAACCGCCAGTCCCAGGGGGAAACCCTGGGATCCAGGATCCGCCGCCCGTAGTTCAGAGTCGATCGATACTAATTGGCGTTTCGGAAGCTGCCGATCGTTCACGGCTGAACGATCCCGCGGTGTCAGAAACCATTGCCTACGGCAGTCGGCACGAAACGAATTTGCCGTACTTTGCCCCGTCATGCCAAGATTTCTTTCTCCGCTCCCTTCCTATTGATTCCTGTCTTGCTTCGCATAGTTGGTGGCGCGCCGCAACGCGCGGGCTCGGACAAAGGCCCCCCTCTTCCCTTCCTCTTCGCTTTAAATCCTCCTCGTTCGTTTCCCCCCCCTCTCTCCTCCCTTCTCGTCCTCACTCCTCCCCCTCCTCTTTCCCTCCAATCGGCCACCGGGCCCTCATCCTTCCCCTCGTTCTGCTTGTGCTTCCCTTCTCCACCTGCCCTCCCCCCCCCTTCTTGCAGGCAGGGGCAGAAGAGGCGGGCCGAGGAGCCCAGGCCCACCGCCCCGCCCAGGCGATCTTCATGGAGCGGCCGGCGCGGCGGGGCCTTGGGCTGGAGCCCGAGGCACCGGCCGGCGCCCGCGAGGACACTGCTGGGATCGACGCGGGGGTGTTGCTAAGGGGGCAGGGGGGGGGGAGGGAGGACGAGGGAGGGAGCATGGAGGGGAGGTGGGGTGAGACAGTCCTCGTCCTCCTCCTCCTCCTCCTGGCATTTCTGGCATTTCTCGCTCCGAGCAGCGTCTCACAGACGCCCAGAGCGCGGAGCGCCCCGCAGCAGCCCACGAGGGCCGCGAACGAATGAATGAAGCCGCGCGTCCGTAGGCACATGAGCAATGGCACGAGCGTGCGCCAGACAGTATACTTGCGCACCGCTGCTTTCCAGGCTTCCGCTGGAAAAGTGCCCAAATCTGAAAGGTTCCAACCAGAATTGCGACACATTTGCTCAGCATGCTTAGACAATTCTGTTGCCCACGCCTGCCGGGGCCTGCCCCTCTTCCGGCGGCCGGGCGCCTGCGCCAGCTCAGAGGATGAAGGCTGGAAGACAACCATGCGGACAGGATGGTCGTCAGCCTTGCGTGCGATTTCCCTGAACAAAATCAACTGCCGTCGCAGCAAGAGGTCGCTGAGCTTGCCGCGTCCGGCTCGCTGCAACACCGCGGCGTTGGTGATTCGACTGACATACGAATGCCTGATGCCGAGGATCCTCCGCAGGCACCGCGCTTGAAAATCATTCAATCTGGCCAGTTCGTGCTGACGTAACCAAGATGTGTGGAGGCTGTACAGCAGCGTCGACTCGACGCACGCAAGGTACACGTTGATCTTTCTCTTGGTTGACATAGAAGAATGAAACCAAAGACGCTGTAGATCATCGAACCCTGACCTGGCTCGGCCGATCCGCCGGCTCAATTCTGCACCGACAGAACCATCAAATGTTAAGACGCTTTCCAGGTATATCATGCTCGTCTTCTGCGGGATTGGGTCGCCGTCAGGCTTAAGTATAGCATTGGCGTTGCACCCAGTGGCCATGAGCCCGAGCTTCCGCCAGTTGTACTTCAAGCCAAAATGAGCTCCAGCGTCTGCGATGGCCTTCATGTACTCTTCCGCATCCGCAGCGCTGGAAGCCACAATCAAGGTGTCGTCCGCGTATCAAGGGTCGCGGGGGCACTCAAACGACGGCCCCGGGCACCCGACCTCGAGGAAAGGAAGGGGGATCCAAGGACCACCTTCATTACTTCGGAGAGAGGGGGGGAGAGGCCGGGTTTCAAGGAGGGCCCGATTGGGCCCCAGGTCGGGCGCCGCGCGCGCCCGCGCCCAAGGGCGTCAGCCCACGGGAACCCCGCGACCATCGGCCAGGCCGTCGGCCTCTTCGTGGGCCACCTCGGCTGGCAGCCGCCTTCTTTCCTCGCAGCCACGCTGGCCGCTAGGCAGCGGCTGGACTCCCTTTGGCGCTCCGCGCTGAGCCCACGCCGCCGCTGGGGCAAGCTGCCCGCTTCTCTTTTGCTCGCGGTCGTCGTTCTCCAGTCGCGGTCTCCTGCCGCTCTTGGCCTTTCTGGCTGCGGTCCCTCCCGTATGTCACACGGGGGCAGCGGCAGAGCACCCTTCGGCGCGGTGCGCTGTGCTCTCGCCGCTGGAGGGCAGGCTGCCCTCGTGTTCTTCTGGCTGTCTTCCATCTTCTGCGGCTTGCCGCCGCCCTATCTTCTTCATTTGCATGTGGCTGGATGCTCTCGTGCGGTTGTGGCGTCGCGTCACCTTTCTCGCGCGCTGCCGATCGTATCGTTGCACTCGCATCTGCGCGTCATTGGCACAGGTTGGTTCTTTCGGTTTGGTTGGTCGGTTGGGTTGGGTGTAATGGCCGGGTCTTGTCGGATGTGGTCGTGGGTAGTCGCACTTGGCGTGGCCTCCATGCGCCGACTTCGGGTGGGAGCAGTGGCGGTCCCAATTCGCCCCGCACGGCCAGGGGTCACTACGGTGCCATCGGTGGGGGCGAACCCCAGGCCTGGTGCTCGGTAGTGGTCGTGGTGGGCTTGGTCGCATCTGCCCTAAGCTCAGGCTCGTCGGCGGTCGGGTGAATTCCTCCTCCGCGTTGGGGGTGGTGGGGGTGGCGAACTAGGGCGGACCGCGGGGGCGCGGGTAGCGGCCGTCCTACACCCCCCGCCCTGCCCTTTCACCATCCCCCTGGCAGGCGCGCGCGGGCAGCGCTCGTCCTGCCCCCCCGCCCTTCGAGCCCGTCTCGAAGTTTGATCCTTGCCGTGCCTAAGTATGTGAGATTTGGTATTGTTGTTGTTGGGTGGTGGTGGTGGTGTCGTCTGGGTAGTGTTGGTGCTGCTCGCGCTGGTCGTCGCTGCAAGTCGTTAGTGGACGTTGCCGGAGGTCGTGCAGGTAGTGCTGGTCGCTGTGGGTACTCTTGTGTTGTGGGTCGTGCTGGTTGGGTGCCTGGAGATGGTCGACGTCGTGCTCCCTGCTGCTCGCACTCTGCGATGTATGTGGTGGGTCCTCGTGTGTCTCCTCGTGAGTTCTCGAGTATACAGCTCCATGTGGCGACTCTAGCCTGAGGTGTTCCCACGCATTCGGGGCGTCCTCCGGACTTCGCGCCCTAACGCCTCCAGGTCCACGTGGCGACTCGTTCCTGATGTGTTCACGCGCATTCAGGCATTCCTCGGGACGTTGCGTCCTAACGCCAGGAATAGTTGGTTGGTGCAAATCATTGGGCGTCGTGCTCGGCGTCGGTGGTTGGGAATGGTGCGAGGGCGGCAAGGAGTGGGCGGCGCGTGAAGCGTCGAGAAGGGCAGGGGAAGGCTACGAATTCAAGTTTTTCGCTCCAGCCCTCACTGCCTGACTTAACCAGGGCTCGCGTGGATTGGGGCAACTCGCATGCCGTCGAGATCGCAGCAGCAGGGGCATCGTTTGGGAGGGGGGTGTAGGCGGTGATTGATGCACGGTGTGGTCGGATGGATGGGTGACGTAGTGATTGTGTTTGGGCTGTTGCTGGTCGAGCTGGTCGCGGTGGTAATTATGAGGTCGGTCGCGCGGGCGGTGCTGTCGGCGCAGGTCACGCTGGGCTTGATGGTTGTTGGCTTGCTAGCGCCGCCAGGCGCCCCAGTCCCTGTGTTAGTCGTGGCCGAGCGCCTTGGGCTCTGCGTAGTGGTCCAGTTGTGCGTAGAAGTTGCGTTGCTCTTCGTCGGTCGTAGCCGACGCGCGTTGTCGTCTGCCAGCTGCCTCGTCGACCGGCGAAGGCCGCTGCCGCGGCACTGCGCCATCTCGACGGATATCATTTGAGTGGGGCAGGTCCTCCATCCACCGCGCCCGTCGCGTCCGCAGGCTCGGCCGCGCCCGTGATGTCGGCAGATCTGCCCGCCAGGTACCGCGCGCAGCTCTTGCCGTAACTCGTGAAGGTGCGCCGCGTGCAAGCATGTAGGTTTCTGCGCCGTCTGCCCGATCTGGCGCTGGTCGACGCAGTGGAGTTCTACGTCTCCTTGATTCAGTGGCCACTTGGCCCCCGCCCTGCGCTGGCTGCCCGGGGCCTGCGGGCGCCAGGTGGCGGGCGCCGGGTGTTCGAGCATGGCTGATGCTTCGCATCGCAGGCCTGTCGTGCTGAGCAGGGCGGCCGTCCTGTAGAGGTCGCTGCCCGGCGCTACCCGTTGCAGTTCCGTCTGGCTGGCCGCCTGAACACCCTGCAGACGTGCGCGGGTCCGCAGGGTTCGCGGGGCCTTTCCCTCGAGGGCGCGCCACCTTGAAGAAAGCCATGGTTCACATGGTAGTCCTGCGATCTGCGCCAAAGATCTTGCCGCCCCGAGTCGCGTTAGACCAGGGTGCCAGCGTGCCCTTCTTGGTAAGGTCGTCTTGTCGAGGCCGATCTGCGCGTCGATGAAAGCGCCGCCGAGTTGCAGCAGGCGACGCGCCACTCGATTCCTGCCTGAGAAGAGGCGCAGCAGGAACATGGCCGCCGTTGCCAGGAAGCTGCATGGCGTGAAAGTTGTTGGCGCTGGCGCAGCTGGTTCGATGCTGAAGGCTGCTGGTGGGAGGAGTGGTGGCGGTAGCTGGTCTGGGTCGATGAGGTCGGCGAGTTTCAGGCAGATAATTTGTTGGACTGGTGCGAGTGCCTTGGCCGATCCGTGTCCTAGTGCTTTTCTTGCGGCCACCTGGGGTTGTTCCTCCTCTCGTTGGTCGGCAGCCTCCTCTGAGTCCACCGGCTGCTCCTCTGTTCGGAGAACAGCTAGGCATTTGGGACGTCTTCCGAGGTGCTTGAGGATGCGGGGTCTCGCGACGGAGTCTTTGCCGCACCCAGGGCAGGTGGTAGATTTGGCCAGCCGCTAAGCTAGGTCGGAGCCCAAGTAGTCTGACCTGACTAGTGAGGCTTGCTGGTAGGCACTACCGAACAGCCGCTCAATTTGAATTGCAAGAGCGCGCCGTTATAGCGACAAAGAACGGCATGCGCCTGGCGCCCTGGCATTTGGAGGAGAACCTGCACCAGGTTGCCGCAGCGCATACATTGGCTATGATAGAGGGGCGTGTTAGCATGTGGCAGGAGGGCGAGATCACATGTCAATGGCAGAGCAGACGTGCCCGACAGACCACGGCAGGTGGCGAACTGCCTCCCCTGCCGAGGTGATTGCCACTCTCCGCTCGGAGCGGGTGGCGATTGTGACTGAGGTAGCACGTGGGGGTAAATGAAGGCGGCGAGAAGATGAGAGGGTAGCATGCGTGAGTGGAAAACACAAGCAATCCTCGGGCGGGCACCCAGGGTTTCATATATTAGCCCCAAACCTACAAGCTAAGAAGTACCACTGGCGCGTCAAAAAAGAGCCGCGAGGGAGACGGAGGAGTGGTGTATTGCGAGTCAGAGTTATCTGTAGACTGTCTAACTGCTGGCATGGTTGCGCTGCCTCATCAGTGGGGCACATCCCGCGGCAATCGGCCCACATGAGGTACTGGTCAGGGATGTTGCGGTCGGCTGCCGTTTTTACCGAGTGGTAGGGGTCGGTCGTTTGTCCAGTTAGGCTAACTGGTCGCGGTGATTGTCGGCTTGGGCTTGGGGGCGGCCTTGTGCATCGTTGCCATGTGCAT